ACCACTTATTTGCATATTTAAGTTCTTTTATTTAATAACAAAATCATCAAATTTATCCAAGCATTGACTAGGAGACTTATTATAAGGAATATCACCTTCAACAAACTTATAGAGAGAATTTAACTCTACTATGCGTGTCGTAGTGTCCAGCCCATGTATTTCTTCAATAGGTGGTAGATTCTTAACATCTTTAGCTTTAATACCTTTTTTTCATAAATTTCTTAGCTTCTTGCATATTTTCTGGACCGAGGAGTAGAATACTTCTCTTCTTTGGAGTTGTCTTAGGAGGTGGATCGGGAAGTGTCCAATCATGAACATTTCTCAATAAGTTATTCAGTAATTCTTGAGCCTGTTCAACTATTCTTTCCCTGAAAACACAACCAAAACAATTATCTAGGTAGTCCGTAAATGCGTCTATTAGTCCATTATAGAAAATATCAAGATTTTCATTTTTCTTGAGAGGATGATTAGGAAAAGCACTAAGTAATTGGAGAAGCCTCCCCCAAGCTTGAGGGAGACACTCTTCCTCAAGTTGTAAGTATCCTACAAAACAGCCTGTCTCATATGAGTAGGAAAATACTTTTCAGTGAAGTAATCAATCATATCCTGGGGACTACATACACAACCAGGAGCAAGATTATGAAACCATATTTAGCATCGCCCTTTAACGAGAAAGTAACAATTTAGAATATAATGGTAGCTAAACTTTTCCTCTTGAGCAAATAGGGTGGCAACATCATTCAATTTAGTGAGATGTGCAACAACTGTTTTAGATTCATAACCATGAATAGGATTGGATTCTACCAAAGTAATAAGTTCAGGATCAACAGAGAATTCATAACCCTATTCCTTATTCAGGATTCTGGAGTGTTCCAGAAGGTTTCTTTGTGTAGCCTGATACGTCCATTTTGCATCATGTTTTGCTACTGATATTTATAGTGTTTTAGATCAATATTTCACTTTATGATGCAATTCTTATGCCTTTTCCTCTCTTAAAATGCAAGGTACACTCAAAGAGAGGGATTGCCAGTAGTTGGAATTCTGGGCCTGAAAAAGCTAGAGCAGAGATAGCTATTCTCCAAAGCTCCAAATGACCAAAAAATATATGGAGAATTACTTTGGAATATATAAAAATGCTGGAAGAAATAAGTACCAAGAAGACCCTCGATGGGCCCACAAGGTAGGAGGGTGCGCCCTACCCCCCAGGGCGCAACCTAGTGCCTTGTGGGGCCCATAGAGTCCCTCTGATGGCCATGTTCTGCTATATGAGGCCATTTTCCCTAGGAAAAATAAGGGAAGACTTTCAGGATGAAGCGCCGCCATCTTGAGGCGGAACCTGGGCAAGTGCAGCTTTGCTCTCCGGCGGAGCGGTTTCGTCGAGGATACTTGCCTCCGGGAGGAGGAAATCGAAGCCCTCGTCATCACCAATGCTCCTCTCACCGTGGGATGACTCATATCCATCAACATGTTCACCAGCACCATCTCATCTCAAACCCTAGTTCATCTCTTGTATTCAATCTTTGTCTCAAAACCCCAGATTGGTACCCGTGGGTTACTAGTAGTGTTGAGTACATCTCGTAGTTGTTGCTAATTGGTTTACTTCGTGGAAGATCGTATGTTCATATTGTTAATCATATAATATTCTCCTCTGGTCATGAACATGAATATGATTTGTGAGTATTTTCCATTTGTTTTTTAGGATACGGGAGAAGTTTTGTTATAAGTAATCATGTGAAGTTGAGTTTCGTTCAATATTTTGATGGTGTGTTATGTTGTTCTTCCTATAGTGGTGTCTTGTGAACGTCGACTACATGACACATTACCATGTTTGGGCCTAGGGGAAGGCATTATGGGATTAGTAAGTAGATGACGGGTTGCGAGAGTGACAAAAGCTTGACAAAAGCTTAAACCCTAGTTTATGCGCTATCCCGTAAGGGGCTGATTTGGATCCCTATGTTTCGTGCTATGGTTAGATTTATCTTAATTCTTATTTCATAGTTGCAGATGCTTGCGAGAGGGGTTAATCAGAAGAGAGTTGTTTTTCAAGTAAGAACAACACCCTAGCACTGGTCCTCCCACATAACAACTTATGAAAGTAATGAATGTGTGTCAATGAATCATGGTGAATTTAACCAGACGAGATTCCCGATGTCCTCGAGAACGACTTTCTCACTATAAGACGTACTTTCGGCTTGTCCTTTGCAATAAAAGGATTGGACCACATTGCTGCATGTTATTACTATTGTCACTTACTATTTGTTACCAATTACTTTGCTACCAAACTATCTGTTACCACTATCTTACAGCACTTGCAGAGAATACCTTGTTGAAAACCGCTTATTAATTCCTTCTGCTCCTCGTCGGGTTCGACACTCTTACTTATCAAAAGGACTATGATTGATCCCTTATACTTTTGGGTCATCATAGTCCTCCTATGTGATTACTTGAATAACATTCGAATCAATGTTAATGGGGGTACCTGCAATATAATATTTCGGTCTTTTCCCATTAACCACTTTCGGTTTTTCTCCTTCGGCGTTTTTAAACAATAAAATTCATCGATGATATAGGGTCCTTCCCATTTGGAGAGAAGTTTGCTTGCAAAATGTCTGACTTGTACAAAAGAACTTTGTCACGAATGTTAAATTCTTATTTCTGAATTCTTTTGTCATGCCATCTTTTAACTTTCTTTTTAAGCTACTTGGCATTTTTATAGGCTTCTGTTCTCCACTCATCCAAAGAATCAATATCAAATAGCCTATTTTGACTGGCAAGTTTAAAATCATAATTAAGTTCTTTAATAGCCTAATAAGCTTTATGCTCTAATTCAATAGATAAATGACAAGCTTTTCCGTAAACCATTTTATACGGGGATATACCCATAGGATTTTTATAAGTAGTTCTATAAGCTCATGGTGCATCATCAAGTTTCTTAGCCCAATTCTTTCTAGATCTATTAACAGTAATTTGCAAGATTAATTTTATTTCTCTGTTACTCAATTCTACTTGTCCACTAGACTAAGGATGATAATGTGATGCTACTTTATGGTTTACATCATATTTATCTATAACTTTTCTAAAAGCATGATGAATGAAATGTGAACCACAATCAGTCATTAAATATCTAGGGACTCAAAACCTCGGAAAATAAACCTCTTTACGCATTTTAATAGAAGTATTATGATCAACACTACTAGTTGGAATAGCTTCTACCCACTTAGTAACATAATCAACAACAACTAAAATATGAGTGTACCCATGCAAGGAAAAAAAATGTCCCATATAACCAAAACCCCAAACATCAAATGGTTCAAGTACAAGTGATTAATTCATAGGCAATTCTTGACGTCTACTAATTTTACCAACCCTTTGACATTCATCACAATAAATGACAAGCTTATGAGCATCCTTAAAGTGAGTGGGCCAATAGAAATCAGATTGTAATACCTTGTGTGCAATTATGTCTCGGCTGATGGGCCTCTCACCATGTTGACTGTCGGCTTGTTGGGTCGGGCTGAGGACCCATTGTCGGTTCCTTCACCACTTTGGACAGCCCACGACGGACAATAGGAAGATTACAGAACACTTGTCGTACAAGACAAGAAGCTGGATTCGTGGATGAATCTACCTCCTTGTACGTAGCCGACTAGGTTCCTTATACCCTAAGACCCCCCCCCCCCTCCAGCTGAGGGGTTGGGCTCGTAGATAGGTACATTATAATCCCTCGGAACTTTGTACTCTCGATACACTAACACATTAAAGCACAAACATGATGTAGGGTTTTATCTCCTCCGGAGAGGCTGAATCTGGGTAAACTCTGTGTCCTTGTTACCATCGTCCCAAGACACCTACCTTAGGATATCCTACCAAGGGATATGCCGGATTTAGCTCTAACAAATCACGCGAACAAAATCAAACACGTAAATAGGGGTGTATATTTCTCCTTAACTGAGAAATTGATTTGTCCTTAAAACATGGGGCAAAATTAGGCATGTATCTTCCTCATTAAAAGAGAAGAAACTATCCTTAAGCCATGCAAAAAATTAGCCGTGATTCTGGCACGGGACTTATTCAGGCGAGCAGAAAAGAACGGGCGTGATTCGACGATCATGAGAAGCGGGACGGAATCACGAGTGCGTCCATAGGATCGCGATCGAATGCTTCCTGATGTGTTTGGTAATGATGTAAAAAAAGTGGTGTGAGAGTTACTTTTCTCGTAAATTATTTTTTGCTAGATAAATCTATAGTCAAACTTTTTATGCAAAGGAGACTAATAAATTAGTACTACCTCCATCTGGGCTAGGTTTTTTGTGAACTTATTATGCCCAACTACTACTACTCCTTAGTCTACAAATATAAGATGTTTTGATTATTTTAATATAGACTAATACAGACTAAAATAAGGGAACAAACACACAAAAACATGTCTATATGCACCCATTCATACAAAAGTTAGAATATGAAAATGGAAGTATATACTGTACCTTTTTTTTTGAAGATCCATTATGATAATGAAAAATATTTCTACATATCCGATCAAATCAATCAAGAATATCTCATTGTGATAAATCCGTCCAAACCTTTTTGTATCATAGTTTGTACCATAGTTTTTTTGTTGGTGTTTGGAGTGGGTACTTGATTGAGCCTTTGTATGCAAAGTGCTCAGTCTTCTTGTACATAACTTTGCTTCTCTTTACCCTAAAAAAAAAACTTTGCTTCTCTTCTACTATAAAACTGTGCTACGCCATTAGCGTTACTCTTGGAAAAAAAATCCGTCCAGATGGGTTTACTAATAGGATGACACGATCCGGTACAAAATTGAGCTTATATTTGACTATATATATAGTATTTGATAACGGAGGGGTTACTATATATATAAGCACGATACGCACACTAGTAACCATTGCCAGAAGCCTGAGCCCAATCACAAAGTAGCTAACAACCCGTTTCCTTCTCACGTGTGCGCGAACCCCGCGGATTTAGCAAGCGCAGATACTACCATGGCGACAGGTGGAGCGCCATTTGACGCGCTATCCTCACTGAACCCCGAGACCTTCGCCGGGGAGTCGCGCGCCGTGATCAACTTCTTCGCCGACTACTACCGCGACGTCGACACGTATCCGGTCCAGCCCCAGGCCATGCCTGGGTGCCTCCGTACGTTTTTACCCGACGCGCCGCCCGAAAATGGCGAGCAGATGGACGTGATATTGGAGGAGGTATGGCGACATATTGTCCCGGCACTGACGCATTGGCAGAGTCCCAAGTTCTTCGGATACTTCCAGGCGAACGCGAGTACAGCCGGGTTCGCCGGCGAGATGCTCTCCACCGGGCTCAACGTTGTACCATTCACGCGGGCTGCCTCACCGGCCGCAACCGACCTCGAGACCGTCGTGATGGACTGGATGGGCAAGCTGGTGGGCCTCCCGGGCCGCTTCCTTTTCTCCAGCGGCGGCGGCGGCGTGCTGCACGGAAGCACCTGCGAGGCCGTGGTATGCACGCTCGCGGCCGCGCGCGATCGCGCGCTGAGCAGGCTCGGCCACGAAGGCATCGTGAGGCTGGTGGGGTACGCCTCAGACCAGAGCCACTCCACGTTCCAGAAGGGCGCGAGGATCGTGGGGATCCCTCGGTCCAACTTCCGCGTCATCCGGACGTCGGCGGCTTCGGGCTACGGCCTCACCGCGGACAGCGTCCGCGACGCCGTGGAGGCCGACGTGGCCAGCGGGCTCGTGCCGCTGTACCTGTGCGCCACGGTCGGCACGACCGGGCTCGGCGCGGTCGACCCGGTGCGGGACCTCGGCGAGCTGGCGCGGAGGCACGGCATATGGCTGCACGTCGACGCCGCGTACGCCGGCAGCGCCCTGATCTGCCCCGAGTTCCAGCATCACATCGACGGCGCCGAGCTCGCGGACTCGGCGAGCATGAACCCGCACAAGTGGTTCCTCACCAACATGGACTGCTGCTGCCTGTGGGTGGCGAGCCCGGCCGCGCTCACCTCTGCACTGTCCACCAACCCAGAGTACCTCAGCAACGTCACAGAAGAAAGTGCAGGCGCGGGCGTGGTCGACTACAAGGACTGGCAGATCGCGCTGTCGCGGCCGTTCCGCGCCATGAAGCTGTGGGTGGTGCTGCGCCGCTACGACGGGGCGGGCATGCGGGCGTACGTACGGCGGCACGTCGAGATGGCCAAGTGGTTCGAGCAGGCGGTGGAGGCCGACGGGCGGTTCGAGGTGGTAACGCCGACGAGGTTCTCCCTTGTGACCTTCCGCCTCCGTCCAAGGCACGACGGCGACGACGATGCCGTTGATGCCTTGAACCGTAGGCTCCTCGTGGCGGTGAACGCTAGCGGGCGGGCGTTCATGACGCACTTCGTGGTGGACGGCAAGTTTGTTATCCGTATGGCCGTGGGCGGAGCCATGACGGAGATCCGGCACGTCCAAGACACGTGGGAGCTTGTCCGGGAGAAGGCTGAGGAAGTCCGCGCTCTCCCCAAGGTCTCCGGGCATGACTAAGAACGGAACGTGCGCTGAAATAAAATTCATTAGAGCATCTCCAACACGCCCAAACACTGGGCCGCACGCTAAAATCCGGTTTTTTAGACGCCAGACAGTTCCAGCAGAAGCCGTAAAACAGTCCGCGCGAAAAAATGAATTCGACGCGCGCTGAAAAACGCTATTGAAAGCTGCAAATTTGAGGCGTCGGATTATGCGCGCTTCATAATTTACACTGCATGTTCTCTTGTGCGCGTGTTTTTGTACATCTGCTTAAGCAATGATGGGTCCGGCGTACTAAAAGTGCTACAGTGGCGCGCTAAAACTATTTTAGGGCACGGGATTTTTGTGCACCTGCTGGAGATGCTCTTAAGCATCAAAAAAGGTGGAACAGATCCTTTTTTCCATATTTTTTGTGGGTAAATGGAACAAATCCACAACGCAAAATGAAAAATATACTAGATATGAAGCATGAAGAACCCTATAAAATTGTCAGACAGTATCCGAGCTGCGAGTGTGTATGCGCACATGTGTGGGAGACATCACCTTCGATGTGAGATATATTCTATTTTGACATGTGAAAACGATTAATTTTTAATAACTTAACCACTAGATAGAACATAAACATACAAATTTCAGTTTGATGCAGCAAGTGTGCAAAACATATTATTATTTGGTAATTACGCTACAATTTACACTTATATTTGCATATTGTGCAGCAGTGCAATTGTTTTATCATCGTTTATTTCAACTTTTCCCCAAGTTTCTTCTTCTGTTAGGGTAATAGCAATGCCTCTATTCATTCTATAGCTTAGAATTTCCTTTTGTCCTTTTAGCTTTGTATTAGTTTTATTCTTTATTATTGTTTATCAGGTGTTTTTATTTTCATTTATGTATATGTGTGAATATTGGGTGTTTGTAAGTATACACATAAATATTTTATAAAACTCCCTCCATTCACTAGTAGAAGATGTTTTGGATATTTCAATATGGAGTTATGGACTACATACAGACTGAATGAGTCAACACATACACTAAAATGTGCATACACACATTCAATTTAGAAAAAAAGTTAGAACATCTTATAATAGTGAACGGAGGAAGTATGTCAGTAAATTATACTAGAGAGCTCTTATTGCATATGCTTATTTTTGCATTTATAAAAATGTGCACTTTTAGTAAAAGTTGTGAGCAACTTTTTGTCATCAATTTTTATTTTTATTTTATTTCTTCTTTAATGGTAATACCAATGCCACTAATTCATTCTTTTATAGAAAACTTTATTTTGCACAACATCCACTATTATATGCTTATTCTTGCATAATATGGAAAGAGCAATTTATGTGTAATTTTTGTGTAAATTTTTCGTTATTTGCTTCAGTATTCTTTATTTATTTTTCTTTAAGAACAATTTCACCATCACTAATTCAGTCTTCCCTAGAAAACATAATTTTTTTTATTTTTATTTTTGTATTAGTATAAGGTGATAAGAAGGCTAGAGAAAGTAGAGGGCTCACGAGTCTCTGGTTCTTGATAGGGTGCTGCAGAGTGGTGGAGAGCGATTTGAATGAACATCCAAAAAAGTTCAGGCCGCTGTCAAATAGTTTTCCCTTTTATATCATCATTTATTTTATGTTTTTCCATTTTATTTCTCAGTTTTGGTAATGTCAATGCTCTTAATCCATTTTTGGTTAGAAAAAAAATGTTTTTGCTTTTTAGTTATTTATTTATTTATTTTAGTCTTTTTCTATTAAGCGTTGCATGCATCTACTCCTAATCATCCATCGAGGAAGCCTATCCTTGAATGTCATGCGTGATATGAGAAGCAACAAACATGTATGCACTATCCGGCCATGCACAATGAAGTGGTGGCAGGATACCAAGCATGAGCAGGCCGCCCTTCGGCCTTGTATGTTGTGCACAAGGCACAACATCCACTCTGTCAATTTTTTTAAAATCAATCGTTGGATTAAATCTCATGGCCTAAAAAAAGTGACTGATATATATCTATAATCTATAATCTATAATCTTTTTTTAGGGAATGCCATCATGACGGTTTATATTTCATGTGAGAATAAAGATACATCGTTTGATAAAACGTCTACTAGAAACCCAGGAGGCTCCGACTTCCAGACAATGGTTCGAGAAGTCTCTGAGTTCCTAGACAATACATCCGCTGCCATATTGGCCTCCCTAGGACAGTGATGAAACATATCGAAATAAAATTGCGAGCTAAAAAAGAGCATTCTTCATAGATTGCCGCCGCTGGGCCGAGGGAATTGCCACCATTCTGCATGATCTCAATTACCTCCATACAATCTGCCTCCACATAGATTTTGTTGCAGCCCATGTCATTAGCCAGAAGAAGCCCGTCCCTAAGACCCCGAGCTTCTGCTGTCCCCGCATCTTCCACGAACGGAATATAAACACAAGATGCAGCCAAGAAAAAACCTGTGTCATCACGTAAAATTGCACCAGTACTCCCAGTACCTCTGTCTTGATCAAACGTAGCATCAATATTGAGTTTAACTAGACCATCCGGCGGCTTGTTCCATCCATGTCTCCTGATTCTCATATTTTTAGATTGTGCCCGTGTGAAGTTTTATGCCAAAGCAAAAATTGCTTGTGCTGATCTCGTTGGCTCAAAAAGGAGCTCACCATGAGTGAATGGCGACGCTCCCACCACACATACCAGACACCTATGGCCAGTAGATCATTGCGGTTAACATCAGCCACCAACGACTGAATTTGATTCCTGGACAGTAGCACATCCGCCAACACAGACCCCCTTCCCTTTCAGATGTACACACCTCATTGATCAAGGGTCCCAGACCTAGAATTCGCCATATTTCTTGCACTCTCGGGCACAGAAATAAAGCGACTATTGCTTCTGGTCGTCCGCCATAAGATTGCCCCCATAGTTATCAATAATTACTCACCATGCCACCAGTAAGTGGAAAAAAAGATTTGTTTTCCCTTCACAAATCGCCGTCAACTATAGGTTATTTAAAGCAGCCCTTCTTTAGTGATAACCATGCAAGTAGCACAGTGGCTTGACCATCACCCCTCCATGCTGGAGACCCGGGTTTGAATCCAACCTTTCCTTTTTCTGTATTTTCTCACCAATTTTCGTTGGTGTAGGATAAAATCGCCTCATCCAAGCGCGGCTTAGCTGATGGGCTGCGCAATGTTGCAGTTTTAGCCCAGCTACTCTATTTTTCTTACAGATTCAAATGCTTTAAAAAATATATCTTTCAACCTAACTCGAAAGTAAACATGTTATATATGAAAATCCCTCAAAAAAATGTGTAGATTCCAGATATACTATTTTCTTGCATGTTAATTATTCTTAAAATTATGTTTAGGAATTGACTTCTGGCCGTCTGTCATAAGATTGCCCCCGGAGTTATCAATATTACTAACCATGCCACCAGTAAGTGCAAAAAGAAAATGATTCGTTTTCCCTTCACAAATTGCCGTCGGCCTTAGGTCATTTAAAATGAGCCCTTCTCTAGTGACAAACATGCAAGTAGCACAGTGTTTGACCGCCACCCCTCCATGATGGAGACCCGGGTTTGAATCCCACCTCCCCTTTTTCTGTATTTTATCACCAATTTTCATTGGCGTAGGATAAAATTGCCTCGCCCAAGCGTGGCTTGGCTGATGGGCTGCGCAATGTTGCAGTTTCAGCGCAGCTACTCTATTTTTATTTTTATTTACAGATTCAAATGCTTTAAAAATATATCTTTCAACCTAACTTGAAAATAAACATGCTATATATGGAAATCCCTCAAAAATGTATAGATTTCAAATATTCTATTATCCTGCATGTTAATTATTCTTAAAATTATGTTTAGGAATTGACTTCACAAATTGTGATGCGTGGCTGCACATGTCAATAAAAAAATAAAGACACGATGAAGGCACAAAATATGATTGGGATCTGTGGTTGCACATGCTAATAAAAATTTAAAGGTTCCCGCAAAAAAAAGGCCCGATGAAGACATAAAGTATGACGCGGTCCCAGTACAAGAAAGAAAGACCCGATAAAATTAAACTGATTGACGGGAAGTTTCCGGTGGGCTACATGTAATTAGATAAAAATAGCCCGATAAAATTAAACCAATTCTGGATAGCATTTTTTGTCAATAAAAGTAGAAAAACAGGTAAAATAAAGAAGGAATGCACGTGTGAAGGTTTCGGTGGGCTACATGCAATTACAGAAGAAAGAAACATGTCCAAAATTGAGCTTAAAAAATGCTCCAATTTTATCGCAGCGGAGTTGGAAATTAAGCTCCGTAAAAATAGATGGAGGGAGTATGATTTGCGTCGATAGTCAATTTAGTGACTTTGCTACGCTTTGATTTATTCATGTTTAGTTTGATCTGAACTGTCATACAAAAGTCGCACAAAAAGTGCGTATGGTCCTTAGTGCGTCCTCGCCTCCTTGGTGTACGCCTCTCTGCTACCATAAAGTGGCACCGTTCAGATGTTAGCGTGCCGCGTTGATGGATGTTTTGGTGGACACCTCGTCTCCGGGTGGCACCGTCCGGATACTGCATGTCGTGCTGATGGGGGATTTGATAGACACGCTAATTATCTCTCTCGATGCAACGCACGGCCATGTTTCCAAGTCCAAAACAAAAGCTCTAGCGCCTGACTGCTAGTCGGTCCAGAATAAAGTGACTACCACCTTTTTTTTCTCGCTTGTGCTATAGTTTTTGCTTGTTGGATTTCTCCTACAGTTGTGCATGCGGCAGCGGTTTGATGTTGCAATCATGTTACACTATTAGAATATATAATCAAATTCGAAGCAGTACAATCATGAGTCCCAAGGTAAGTTCAGCTTAGTATTGGACATGCATATGGCACCACCAAGTATGCAAAGTTTGGATTTTTATTTTGAGAAAAGAATGCAAAGCTTGATTTTGCTTAAGGGATTTGCTTAGATGCAGCCGCCACCTTCTCTCGAAGAAAAAAAATTAGGGTGCCTTTGCTTCATGCCAGCGCCGTCACTGGTC